GTGTGTGTGTGTGTGTGTGTGTGTGTGTGTGTGTGTGTGTGTGTGTGTGTGTGTGCGCGCGCGCACACGTTTGTGTTATACAGAGTATGAAATTATTTTAGGCAACTTTGTCATGTGTTTTATGCAAAAGTAAAAACTTGTTAGTGTATATTACAGTGTAGACAAAACACGAGCGCCAAGCGCCCCAGAGTACCYAGAGCAGCAGATCATTATATTTTCATTTCACTAACATCGGGGAAAACGATCCAAACCATACAAGTAGCCCATCAACTTAAAGCCCAGACTCTGCTCTTTCCAACAATATAAGTGTCACAGCTCTACGTGACAAATTCACGGAACAAGCAGCCAAGGAATAGCGAAAAAGGCTAAATTCTGGAACCATAAACAAGAACGTTTTTCCTTTGTTTTTATGACTTTAATCCACTTTGAAGTGATTTTTTTTCACTTGGCTGGACCTGTACATCTCCTGTGTTAATGTTGGTACATGTAATATGCTAATTCTGCACTGTGGAGATCATTAATCGTCATCATTGAGTGAAAAAATCTTTTGCTAACACAGTGTTGCCTGCGAACCGGAAGACCAGTGCGGGGCTAAAGAATGCGGAAGTGCTAGAATTGGAAGTCCGTGGCATATAGGCTATTTGTGCTGGAGTGAAGCCAAGCGTTAAAAATAATGATTAGTCCACAGCAATTATCTGCATTTTGTGTTCCTTACCCATCCCTATTTTATGTTTTATTGTTTCTCTGGCTTCGGTCTCTGAAATCTGTTGATGTTTTCCCTCCTGCAGTCTCCAGTCAACTATAAACTATTTAACATTTGACCTTTGCATAACGTCACTTTCCAGAACTAGGTGTGGTTGGCTTTTTGGAGAGCTGCGTGAAAGCCCATCTGTGTTGGTTCAAAACTCATAATCCTTAAAAAATGTGCGGTGTGAGAGCAACGGTTCTATTTGAAAGCATCCCCGTGAATTCTAAATCAGTGTTAGGAAACTGCTGGGGGAGGAAAAAGGAAGAACTTCACAGTTATTTAGCAAATAACTGTACATCAAACAAATACATTTTGCTGCAGTATTTTATTTCAAGCTTTAGGCAATTCAGAGTGAGCACCTTACAGCGTATTTTGAGGTTTGAATGAGTGATTCCTCTGCTTTGCACAGTCCCAACACCAGTGCCTCTGCCTAATCCCGACGCTCAAGGTAAACAATCAGTGTAGAATTAAACTGAACACCAACTCACTCGTAGTACTGTGCAGCCTTTCTGAGGGCAGTCCTCGCCTCCTCTGGAAACTCTCCTGGCTCACCTCCACTCCAGCAGATGCTCTTGCCCTTGGCGTGGTAAACGTTTCCGAAATTATACAGCGCTCGAGCCTGCCCAACCTACAACACGCACAGCAGAAACCAGAGTGACTGCGGCTGTAATTATATACTTAAAATACACTGACATCTTGTTTGCATGCTGGCTGGCAACTGATGCATTTGCAGAAAAAAATAGTTAAACGGGTGAACAGTGTGTAATGTAGTACAGCTGAAAACTAATGGATKTATTTGTTCTAATCAGAGGATGTTTTAGTCATCAAACCAGAATTGAACTTTCACTGGCAAATCACTAAAAAGCAATTCAGCTAGTCTGATTTTTTCCCCCCTACTTGTAGCCAAACAGCTCTTGTTCTAAAACAAAAAAAGAAGAGGGGGAGAGAAATACCACCCACCTTATCATACATGGCTCTTGTGATATCCAAGTGTCTTTGGCAACAAACCACTGCTTCATCATATCGTCCTAAAAGCTTTAATGTGTTCCCAAGGTTACCACTGGCTTTTGCCTCACCGAGTTCATCACCAATTGTTCTGGAAATAGAATGGAGAACAATAGTACCGCATATCATACGCCTGTCAAAGTATTGTGACACCGAATACATAAAAATACTAGAAATAATGTACAAAGCATTGAATAAAAGTCTTCCTTCTGGAATTCGGAAATTATTRAAGTTAAGAGAGAGTGAATATAATTTATGAGGTTTGTTAATCTTTGAACACGTTAAAGAGAAAATAAAGTAAAATCTACATGTGTTTCAGTTATTGGTGTGAAATTATGGAATGAGTTGAATGATTTCAAATTTTATTTGGTGAACTTTAAAACAGCCTTAAAGTGTAAAATTATAAAAGCTTATATAGTGTTACGTAGATTTACATTTGTATTTTGTAACCATGTATGCATGTAATGTATGTACAGTATGTGTATATGTACACACATGTACTGTATATTTAAGGTGTATGTATGTATTGGGACAGTAGATATCTTTTTTTTTTGCAGACTGAGTGTATTTCAGTAGGATAGGCAAGTATAAGCCTTGGCTTCAGTCTACTCCTTTTTGATAAATTATTGATTTGTATTTGTAAACAAGACAGAACTCGACTTCAACCGTTGCCGATATCCCTCGTCGTCATTCAGTAGTGACCAACTGTTAGCATTTTTGTTGTAATCATCACAGGCCTTCATTATTTAAATAATCTCATAAGGTGAACAGATGGACAAACTGATGGACGGACAGAGGGGCTAAAGTCTTGTCAAACTACACAAACATGTTGAGCAGGTCTTCCTTATGATGCACACAAAATTTGGTTCAGATTGGATCTTGTGTGTGTGATTTGGTTATATGTAATTAGGTCACACTCTCCAACATTTGGACTGCATTTCTGTAGTGGGGTGGATTAGAATGGACCATAGTGAATTTGGTGCAGATTGGCTGAAATATGTAGAATTTAGAGCCAAACGTGTATCAATGGCATGATGTCTGACTTCCCTGCACTGCCATGACCACATCTTCCACCAAAAAAGTCTTTGGGCTTGAAAGTAAGTGAGGTGCAGTTCTTATCTGTGTTTTGACACAATTTGTTGCTGATTAAGTAAAGAGGGTCTGGGATGGACCTTTCCAAGCAAGAAAAAAAAAGTCACTTCCTGTTGTGACGAGGCGGGGCTTTGATGATGTCATAGACCACACAGAATGGTCGGCACGCAACAGGGATGACTCATCCTAAGTTTGATTTATTTTAGTCTTTCTATGTGAAAGTTAGCTTTCTGAAATTGTAACGGACAGATGGATGGAGAGCATTTCTAAGTCCCCCTCCTCGACGACAGGGGGCAAATAGTGTTRCAATTTGTTTTATTTCTCTTGTAATGTAAATTTTCCAAAATAAATCTAAATCAATCAATCAATCAATACAGAAATCTAAAGCAATTATAAATCATAATTCCAGAATATCACCTCTGACTTTTGATATGGTCAATATAATAAAAATGGAAAAATAAAGTGTAGTATTTGGACAGAAATGTCCATTTGTGAAAACCTTTACCTGGTAAGTGTGAGGTCATGTCGATGGTACTCTAGAGCTTTGGTATACTCTTGAAGGTGAAAGTAGGCATTTCCGAGCTGACTGTAGATGGCGCTGAGGATCTGAAGGTCTTCTGTTCCAACTTGTATGGCAGACTCGAAGAAGCACACGCCTGAACGATAATCGCCCGTCTTACAGAGCCGCTCACCTTCCAGAGCCAGGTCTAAGCATGAGGCCTCCATCCTGCAAATAAACGAGATATTAAGCTAAAGATACCAGGTTTTACTCATTATACATTTAATCAATAAGGCTTTTAAGMTAGCATCGTATAGTGGTCTTGCTGAGAGGGTCGGTCAACAGCATTCACAAAATYAGTCTCCAAAATGCCTTGAAATGTTTGCGGGGGGTTCTCAGTTGTGTGCGAGTCAGAGGCTCGCAGCCTTGTTGCTTCAACAAACTCTCTCTCKAAATAGAGTAGTTGCAGGCAACTCAAATCAATATTTCAAAGCGCTATGGCTGTTTTTCGACACCGGCACAGGAGCTTCTTTTATGACAAATATTTGAAGGTACTGTCCAGAATGTCAGGGTTTAAAAACCATGTGCTACAACTGCTATTACTTTGCCCCAAAGTGTATTTTAGTAGATGTGTTTTTGAAGTACTTATTTAATTATAACTTATATGAGCAAGTCTAAAACAGATCTCTCTTACTCGTATTTTAGTATGACAAAAGATCACTCAGTTGAATGATGGCATGGTGGTCTGCTCTGATGCTTTTATTTTCTCACAACAAAACACTCCAAAAATAAAAGAGAGAAGCATTAAATGACAAGGAGAAAAAAAATAAAAGCCCATCTCTTTTGAAAGCAGGCTCGAGAGTTGTAAAATCCAAAATAGGARAAAGCATTTCCTGTCTGTAATGACCATCAAACCCCAAAAAACGCCACATTTACTCTAAAATGGAAAAAAATGTACCTTACAATTTACTATGAACAGAAAGTAAACTCAGATGTGTCTGTGGTTGGTGTACTATTTTTGTCTCTTCTGAGTGTCAAACCAACATCTTAAAGCTTGAAACCACCACTGGGTCTCTTCTAGATGCAACATTTAAACACTAAAATAAACGACCACAGAAAACCACTGAAGACTTTCCTGATGATTAATCACAAGCATCAAAACCACTTTATTACAGCTGAACATTTTTTGTGTCTCTTCTGCATGCTTGATCTCATTTAGATCAATAAAATGGAGCCACATTGTYATTGTCATTTCAAACCACACAAACATTATGTACACAACTTCTTATTAAAATACATCATGTTTCAAAACACAAAGATGGCAATGGCCCCAGCATATWTCTGCTGTGCCCCAGTAAAATTTCKCAATCAAWTTTTAGAAACTTCCACAAAGCTTGTGTTWTAAATGTGCAAACCAGTCTAAAATAGCAAAAAAGATTTGTGATGATGCTATTTACATACATGTGAAATGATGTATTGTGCATGCAGTTATGGGAAAATCCACACATACTCCAAAATCTGAAGCACGATAACTGTCATAAAAGCGTTAAAAAAATATTCTTAACCAGATCAATGGGGGAGAAAGATGAGTTAAACTGACGAAGAACAAATTGTTACCACAAAGCACTGGAAAATGAAATGTTTTCTGATTGTAGATAACAGATGAACACGTGGAGCCCTGTGAGAAAGCCGGTTGGGCCTGTTTTTGTGTGACGGCATTTTCACTCTTTTCCTTCTTTCGTCGAGCTTGAGCTTGCTCATCTCACACACGCAGCTTTGTTAGGGATTATTTACTGCGGGTCTTCGAGAGGGTGGAGAAAATACCGGCAACCAACGTCTTGAAGAGGTGGGGTATTCTGCAAAATCGACTTTTTGAGCTTTAAGTAAGTAAGTAAAGTAAGTAAGTAAGTAAGTAAGTAAGTAAGTAAGTAAGTAAGTA